TCCTCCTCTTTTTTTGCTGAGGAAGACTGGCCCTGGGCTAACATCCATGCCCATCTTCCTCCACTTTATGTGGGACGCCGCCACAGCATGGCTTGAAAAGTGGTGCGTCGCTGCGTGCCCGGGATCCGAACCGGCAAACCCTGGGCCGCCGCAGCAGAGTGCACGCGCTTAACCGCTCGCGCCACCGGGCCAGCCCCTCAACATCTTTAAACATGCTAATTCTCATAGAGATTTCCACAGAGAGGAGCTTTTCTCAAGAGAATGTTCCTTTCTTGAGGTATCATCTGAAAGGGAAGCAGCATGCTTTCCTTGAAGGCAGACACGCTAAGATAGACTCTGTTTGAGTTGGTTGTGGTGTGGGTCAGATGGAACACGGGCCTGCAGTCCTGGGACCTGAGGGGAGTTGGCTGTGAGCATAAAAGGCTGTTTCTAGGCGTCTCGGTTGCTCAGTAGAAGTTTAGATGAGATGGGCAACTTTTGTGAACTTCCTTTTACTGCCCAAATAAATTGGCTGCACATTAGAATCACTTGGGAAGCGGGCCAGCCCTGTGGCTTAGTGGTTAAGTGCGCACGCTCCGCTGCTGGCAGCCCAGGTTCGGATCCCGGACGCACACCGACGCACCGCTTCTCCAGCCATGCTGAGGCCGAGTCCCACATACAGCAACTAGAAGGATGTGCAGCTATGACATACAACAATCTACTGGGGCTTTGGGGGGAAAAAAAATAAATAAATAAAATCTTTTAAAAAAAAAAAAAAAGAATCACTTGAGAAGCTTAAAAAAATATCTTATTACCTGGCTACACCCCAGCCCTATTACACCTTAGTCTCTGGGGGTGGGCCCAGACATCAGTATTTTTTGTGTGTGTGAGAAAGATCAGCCCTGAGCTAACATCCGTTGCCAATCCTCCTCTTTTTGCTGAGGAAGATTGGCCCTGGGCTAATATCCGTGCCCAGGGCTTTATATGGGACGCCGCCACAGCATGGCTTGACAAGCGGTGGGTTGGTCCTCACCTGGGATCTGAAGCTGCAGACCCCGGGCCGCCGAAGTGGAACTGGAGAACTTAACTGCTACGCCGCCAGGCCACCCCCAGACATCAGTATTTTTAAAGCTCCCCAGTGATTCCAACCGCAGCCGACCTTGAGAACCACTGAGTCTACAACCTCTTTTATGTGTTACGTTGTTAGAAGAGAGGCGGACCCTAAGGTCCCTTTTACCTCTTGATTGCCTGATTCTCTAAGTTTCCAGGGAACAGAAACTTTTTTAAAAGGTTTAATTTTGACGGGCAACTTTCCAAAATATGTTACATATTTTCCTGCCTCCCCAGAGTATGTTACGCATAATTTAATCTTTTATTGGCAACACTGGGTCAGTACTTCAGCTGTGCTGTAATTCATGCTGCTTTTAGGGATGGGTGCTCGTGAGTGTATTTTTTATATATTTGAAGGCACTTGGTCAGTACATGACTATGCTTTTTCAGATCCTGCTTGGTTTTTCGGTCTCTCTTGCCATTTGCCATCTCTTGAATTTGTCTTACTTTGTCAGCCTGTCTTGTTGCCCTTAGAAATTTTGTTGAATTTTGTGATTTAAAACGAGTTAGAGTCCTACAACCTCTCTCTCGCAGAAGTGAAAACACAGAAGCTTTAATGCATGCATTTTGTGATATCTCTTTGTTTTGGTTTGGTGTTCCATGTAATTGAGGTTGTTGTATGTAACTAAGATGATGCTGAATTAAGATAAAAAGAAAAATTATGCCTGTAAAACCTTTTTGTTTTTTTTTTGTGAGGAAGATCAGCCCTGAGCTAACATCCATGCTAATCCTCCTCTTTTTGCTGAGGAAGACCGGCTCTGAGCTAACATCTATTGCCAATCCTCCTCCTTTTTTTTTTTCTTTCCCCCAAAGCCCCAGTAGATAGTTGTATGTCGTAGTTGCACATCCTTCTAGTTGCTGTATGTGGGACGCGGCCTCAGCATGGCCGGACAAGCGGTGCGTTGGTGCGCGCCCGGGATCCGAACCCGGGCCGCCAGCAACAGAGTGCATGCACTTAATCACTAAGCCATGGGGCCGGCCCATGTAAAACCTTTGTTAGCACTATTTAATCAATGTTTCTCAGATTGAGTGTCACTGGATATTTCCTCAAGGGCCTAAGAGTTCCGTGAAAATTTTAAAATTTTTGTGTTTTCTTTTGCTTGTCTGTTTTCTTTTAATTAGTGATCTAAAACAACTCTTGTCAGCTGAAAAGATGAAGCTTCTCTTTTGCAGTAAGACTCTCAATGTAAAGTGATTTTTATGACTACTTTTTTTCTCTTAAAATTTTTTGGGTGGGCTTGTGACATTCCTATTTAATTTATATTATTTTTCATTGCTTTCAGTGCTTTCTAAATTTCTTACAGTCAACATAGCACTTGTATTTATGTATTTATTTATTTATTTATTTTGCTGAGGAAGAGTTGCCCTGAGCCAACATCTGTTGCCAATCTTCCTCTTTTTGCTTAAGGAAGATTCTCCCTGAGCTAGCCTCTGTGCCAGTCTTCCTCTATTTTGTATGTGAGTTGCTGCCACAGCATGGCCGCCAATGAGTGATGTAGGTCCACGCCCAGGAACCAAACCCAGGCTGCCAAAGCAGAGCGTGCCAAACTTAACCACTAGGCCACAGGGCCAGCCCCAACGTAGTACTTCTATAATTAAAAAAATATATATACTCAGAACCAACAAAAAACACTACTATAAGGTCACACCCCAGAAGTGGCTGAAATTCCTTCTTATAGGGCTTGTAAATTGCCCAGAATAAAAGTGGCAATAGGAAATACAAAGTGGAGTTATTATTCTTGCATTAATTGCCATTATTATGGAGGCACAATTTCTTAAATTGTTTTGATCAAATAATATAGACGCATTTTTAAAGGTCAAAAGTTATCAAAAGGGCCAGCCCTGTGGCTTAGCGGTTAAGTGCGCGTGCTCTGCTGCTGGCAGCCCGGGTTCGGATCCCGGGCGCGCACCGACGCACTGCTTGTCCAGCCATGCTGAGGCCAAGTCCCACATACAGCAACTAGAAGGATGTGCAGCTATGACATACAACTATCTACTGGGGCTTTGGGGGAAAAAATTAAATAAATAAATAAATAAATAAATAATAATTTAAAAAAAATGTGTTATAACAAAAACCACCAATTCCTAGCACTGCCTCGCCTCCCTTCCAGTCATGTTGCCCAGTGGCAACCACTTTCAACTTTTTGAGCTGTTTCTTTTGGCAGCTCCCTATTTCCAAAAAATATGCATATGTTGCTGTCTCTTAATTCATCAGTTTTAGATATTAGATTTTTTTTTACTGTTATAGTGAATGAGGTCTTAGAGTAAATGAGCTCTCACCCACTCCCAGTCCCATGTTTCTTCTCCCCCCATCTTTCTGTTACAGTTATATCACAATTTTTGGTTTAATCAGTATGTGGAGTCATGTTATTATGATATATAAATATTGTTCACTGATACTTTTCATTGCCAAGCAGAATACTGAGGTTACATTTCCTCCCTTGTATGACTTTTACATTTTTTCTAGGGTCAATATTTGCCTCTTTCAATCTCACCTACGTTTTTCCGTTCTGGGAAATTTTCCTGTATTATTTCTTTGCTATTATTTCTTCGTTCTCCCTAATTTCTAAGACTCTTTTATGTTATGTGATTGTTCCTTTTTAAAAGCCTCCTATTCTCATTTCAATGAGGCAGTATCTTTCATTTGTTATCGTGGAGTGAGATTTTTAATTGTAAATTTTTAAAAAGTTTTGTGCTTTATCTTTTTTCTCTAAGTTCCCTTTTCCATTTGCTTTGGTCTCTATCTTTTATGTTAGAGGCTTTCTTGAAATGTTTGGTGATATTTCACTGTCTATTCATATTTAAGAGTAAGGCACTAAAAAGCTGAAATCACTGTATTATATATGGGCAGGGTTTGTCTACTGGTGGGAGATTGAGTTTGAACTGGTTTTTAGCTGGGGACACTCAGATGTCAGTATCTTTGGTTGTCTTGTCAGGAACCATTAAATTTATCCAGAGAAAAATCCCTGGTTGTCTGACCAATATCTGTAAGTCTGGCTGCTGGCATTCTGGGAGACAGCACAGATCCCAGCAGGGGCTCGAGTCTCAGTGTTGAGTATATGGACATCCATTTCACCCTGTTTGCCCTAGTGGCCCTGCCAGCTTCCTCTACTGTGCCTGATGCCTCTGCATCTTCTGATCTCCTGACTGATTTAGTTCTCCAAAAATTACCAGGAAGGTCTCCCCTCTGGAAGGTCTCCTGTAGAAGTTTGGGAGAGCAGTCATGGGCTTCTGTGAGACATGACTACCCCAGGGTGTCTTAATAGCTTCTTATACAGACTTTAAATAGTCCTTTTGTTTTCAGCCCTATCCCCGCGCCATCCTCCAGAGTACTTGGTGCCTGCTGTCTGTGAGCCTTTCCCAGGTTTTGCTTGTTTAGTATTAGGCACTTAGGTTCCTCTAATCTATTAAAGTAGTTACCACTCCTTCATCCACTTCCATCTTCTGACAGTTGGTTCACATCTCTTATCCAGTGTTATCTCCTCTCCCGTTCTCTTTGTGGTTTTATATATTTTATTTAGTGAAGTTTTTGAAAGGGAGTGTTGTCATTTCACTAAGGATACTAAATGTCAAGTTTTAGTATCTTAAGTTTGTTTCTCAATATTGGGTTTCCACTCCCTTGTGGGACTCCAATAATTATTTTTCCTTTTAAAAGGGGATCTGTACCTCACCTCCATTTGAGAAGCAGTGGATTTGGATGTCTGCCATTGTTAAATAGTGATTGAGCTGGTTCATCACCTCCTCTTCTTGCTCTAACTTCATTTGCAGGGAGTGCCAGGAAAGAAGACTTACCTATTATTTTCTGAGGTTAAGTTGAATTCTTCAGGCATCTGGCTCCTGGCTTAGTCCTAAAGTGGTATACTCAGGGGCTGCATCCATGAATTTCTAAGCCTCTCTAGTGGGTAGGTGGTAGATGTCAACAGTCCCATGGATAGCTTAGTCCTCTGTTCTTCTATAAGTTGTTGAGCAAACAATTGGAATATAATTGCTATAGATTTAGGTTCCTGATTGGTTCTCAATTTATTTCATATTTAATGTTTCAGAATAATCACTCCAGAGAGTATTGAGTGAGAGTATGGAATCCTTCACTAAAAGTCTTTGAAGTTTGGATGAAACTACCTGACCAGGATGTTAGGAAGGAAGGACACTCCTGCTGAGCTTGGCACTGGGCTGGGCATTTCCGTGGAAAGAGAGCAGTGAGCTGGAGAACCTGTTCTCCCTGGGTGTTTTTGTTTTTGTTTTTTTTTTGCTGGGAGAGAAGCAGACCTGATAGGACAGTTTTTGTGTTCAACAGAAAGCTCTCATCAGAGGAACTAGAGCGAAAACGGCAAGAGATGATGGAAAACGCCAAGTGGCGGGAGGAAGAGAGGCTGAACATCCTCAAGAGGCATGCTAAGGATGATGAACGGGAGCAAAGGCTGGAGAAGCTGGACTCCCGTGACGGGAAGTTTATCCAGTGAGTGCATCTTCTTCCTGCCTAACGGCTTTCATGGCAATGGTCCCAAGGAGGCAGTCAGGCGGCTGCTTCTTTGATTGTGTTCCCAGTGTTTCTGTGTTGGTGCAGAGGGAACGTGGAGCTCAGCCTCCAGACCACCTTTGTTACTACTCCCAGCTTCTGGCCAGATGGTTGATTTGAGGGGAGGGGGGAGTGATTTGGTGTTTTCATTGAATCTCCTTGGCCTTCCTTTTATTTCTTTTTTTTCTGTGAGGAAGATCAGCCTGGAGCTAATAACATCCATGCCAATCCTCCTCTTTTTTTTGCTGAGAAAGACCAGCTCTGAGCTAACATCTATTGCCAGTCCTCCTCCTTCCCCCCACCCACCAAAGCCCCAGTAGATAGTTGTATGTCATAGTCACACATCCTTCTAGTTGCTGTATGTGGGACGCGGCCTCAGCATGGCCGGACAAGCGGTGCGTTGGTGCGCGCCCGGGATCCGAACCCGGGCCGCCAGTAGCAGAGCGTGTGCACTTAACCGGTAAGCCATGGGGCCGGCCCCTTGGCCTTCCTTTTAAATAAGAGTTCACAGCTCAGGAAGCTTTTTCCCATTGAAGCTTTGACTTATTTTCCAAAACAGATAAATTTGCCCTTATGGACATTGATTTAAAAAGTTTAGTTCCAGATGGAGTCATTCAAAAGTTATCTATGTGGGCTTAAAAGAGCTGTGTTTCTACAGCTGCTTTATGGCTAGCAACCTGTTTCTTCTAATTCTGCCAGATAGTTGACCAGTTGACAAATGCTTGTTACTTACATTCGCCTGTCTTCTCTCCCTAGCCGCATGAAGCTAGAGAGTGCATCTACCTCCTCCCTGGAGGATCGGGTGAAGCGGAATATTTACTCTCTACAGAGAACATCAGTAGCTCTGGAGAAGAACTTTATGAAAAGATGAAAACCATCCCCTCTCTTGCTGGTTTTCCTGAATTTTCCAGGGAGGCTACTGACCCCTTAAAAATTCTCTTTATAAGAGTTCAAAACGGCTTCTTCTACAGATGTCAAACCACCACTGTTCAAAGTGACTCTTCTCCATCGATTCCTGAAACGGCTCACTTCCTTTGAGAACCAGTGTGACTTGCTTTATGGGACCCCCAGTAACTTTTGCTTTTGCTGGGTGCAAGAGTGGGTTTTGACTGTGTTTTTAATGGGTGGGCACTGGACCATCTAGGTCTGAGCACTCGTCCTGCTCTGGAAGGCTGCTCCCTGTGGTTGTGATACTTACTATGCCACTTCCCTCCCACCTGTGTGAACAGACCTATTCTATCGCCTCAGTATAGACTGGACCTTTCAGAAATCTCTCTCTCCAGAGCCACCCAGATCAATTGTGTTTACTGGGGTAAATGAACATTTACTTGATTTAATAGATAATGTGACAGAATGATGTCAGTTTAGGGCAGAGCCAAGGGAGTGACAAAGAATCTGGAAGGGAAACAATACAAAAATGCCCCAAATGAACTGTTGAACTATTTGGACTATCTTTTGAATTGTAAAAGTGTGGTGTGTATATGTACAAATGTATAATTTTTACATGCTTTTTAAAAAAAGTTAGCTTTGTGAGAATATCTTGTTTTGTAGATGACTTTACTATGTAATGGAACCATATTGTATCCTGTTATTGAGTAATACAGTAAGGCAGGTCAGCATTTTTTTTTTTTTTCTCTGCAAATCTGGCTAGTTTAGGAGGGACCTGGGTTTATTGATAGGATCTAGGGTATCTATCCTTTTATGATGCTTAGAGTCTCAGATATGGGCAATGCAGCAGTGAAGTGAAAGGATTTTAGGAGTCAGGACCAAATTGCCAGTCTGCTCCCTGGCTGTTAAAATAAAACGGAAGCTGTTTATTTCATGGCTTCCCCTTTATCATGTAGTAATTTTATTACTCTTCTAGATTTTCAGGAGTTGTTTGCTACTCTTTTTTAGTCAGGTATTAAAAAAACAAAAAACTCATGGGACCAATCTCTTGTCTTTACTCCTTTTCCTTCTCTATTCTTTCACCAGAAGCCCTCTTTTGACCTATGAACTCCTAGGCACTCTTTTTTTTTTTGGTCCCTGGAAATTGGGGACTGAGGAAACATCCATTGCCAATCTTCCTCTTTTTGCTGAGGAAGATCATCCCTGAGCTAACATCTGTGCCCAACCTCCTCTGTTTTGTATGTGGGACGCCTGCCATAGCAAGGCTTGATGAGCAGTGCGTAGGTCCACACCCCGGATCCCAACCTGCAAACCCTGGGCCACCTAAGTGGAGCATGTGAACTTAACCGCTACACCACCAGGTCGGCCTTCTCCTAGGCACTATTGACCCACACATTAGCTGGGCTAGTTCCTTCTTCTGCTGATTCCTAATTCTGCTTAGAACGAATTTGGGTTTATATTTTTGAGCACTTATGCCAGGCACTGTAATGCATGAAACCCAGTCTTTCTCCAGAGAGAAAGTAACATATATTTGTTATTCATTTAATCACCTCATCCTGCTTCCCTATGCTAGGGAAGCTATGCTAATTATGTCTTTTATTATATTACTTAGTAATAAAGTCTCCACTTAGTTTTGTCACTGTTTAAAGAGTGACCATGTGCTGAGTAATGAATTTACGAATTCCCATACAGAACAGCATTGACCCATAATTCGTGTCGAATATATGGAGATCCTTCGCCTGAAAGGAATTATATAACAAAGCGTGGGCAGTTTACTCAAAGATTTCATGAAGTGAGCCAGAGAATAAGATGATTATGAGTCTCTGCAGTAGGATGGGTGTCTCAACTGGACCCTTTGGCGGGAGGAGGCCGGCCGCAGGTGGGTGGGTACCGGACCCATTCATAAAACCCAGGGCTCCGGGCCTGCTCCTCTCATTGGCCCTGGGGGGAAGGGGCGTGTCCCGCGGGTGGAGCGGGCCCCAGGCCCAGGGGAGTGGGAAGATCCACGCTTGGGTGGAGCGAGGGGGCGTTCTTTGGTTTTCCCGGCAGGACTTCCTTTTCCCCTTGCTGCGTTCCTCCTCTCTCCCCCGGGTGGGGATGGTACGTCCCACCCCCTTCGCTTTCCCGCCCCTCCTCTCCTCAGGAGCGGTGGCGGCGCCGCCATCTTGGCACGTCAGGTTAAGGGAAAGAGCCAAACCCCGGCTTTGGGGGGCCGGGACAGGGAGGCCCTCCGCGGTAGACAGCGAGCCCTATCCCGCCCTCCTCTCCTCCCCGCGGGGCTTCGCGGCGTGCAGAGGCCGGCCGGGTTCCTGTCAGGCCCGGGGAGGAGGGGCGGGCGGAGCAGCCGCTGCCTCCTCGGGACGGGTGGTACCACCCAAGCGGGGAGGCGAGGGCCTGGTGACGGCAGGGCGGCGGCACCGCCCGG